CGGCCCCAGTACTGAGCCCTGGGGAACACCGCTCGTGACCGGCCGCCAACTGGATTGAACTCCATTCACCACAACTCTCTGGGCCCGGCCGTCCAGCCAGTTTTTGACCCAGCGCAGAGTACACCTGTCTAAGCCGTGAGCCGCCAGCTTCTCTAGGAGAATGCTGTGGGAGACGGTGTCAAAGGCCTTACTGAAGTTCAGGCAGACCACATCCACAGCCTTTCCCTCATCCACTAGGCGGGTCACCTGGTCATAGAAGGAGATCAGGTTGGTTAAGCAGGACCTGCCTTTCATGAACCCGTGCTGGCTGGGCCTGATCCCCTGGTTGTCCCGCTCATGCCTTGTGAGCGCCCTCAAGATGAACCGCTCCATAATCTTCCCTGGCACCGAGGTCAGGCTGACAGGCCTGTAGTTCCCCGGATCCTCCTTCCGGCCCTTCTTGTAGATGGGCGTCGCATTGGCAAGCCTCCAGTCGTCCGGGAATAAATACATACAAATAGGTTGACTATACAGAATTCATCCAGGAAGCAATGCTGAGGTGACTGGATCGTAATTTTCCCGTCCTGTTCTCAGCAAAATCCTTTCTGTTGGTTTGAATACAATTTATAAGAGCTTCCTAATGGTTACTTTTTTTTTTCTGCATCAAAAATATTGTCAGTATACTCAAAAACCTCACTAGAAAATGTGTGTCACTTTCTTTCACCTTCAACTTCACCTGCTGATGTAGCTGAAATCCACTGTGACCAGCTAGGTCTGTGCTTCGGCTGCAGGAGGTGCTCACAGAAGGCCTGTCTGCTCAAGTCTGATTCACTTGCCTAAAGGAGACTCCCAGCATGATTAAGGCATCTCCCCCCAGCATTAAAAAATGCAGAAAAATTCTCCTTTAACATATGGGATTGTAAAACAAGTATATACAGTGTATGGCAAACCTGCTTTTCTTTCCATACTGCCAGTTCTTTCCAAACCATCTGTACTCATCTGCATTAATAATCTGTCCCTGTGGATAGTCCTAGCAAGTCTTAGGCTGATTACATTACGTGAGTTGAGTCACATCCATGTTTGTTTCGGTTTACTGTTGTTAGTAAATAGTCTGCTGAGCCTCAGTGGCATCATACTGTTTGCCAGCCTTTTGTTCCTCCCACATTGTGATCTCATCCCATCATTCCTGTGTCCTTGTCCAAATTGCAGTTGTTTAAAGGTGGCTGTGAGCTCTTCCTGTCTATCTCATCGCTCATAGTTTAAACCCTCTTCAGTAGATTTGTAAGCTGATTAGGGAAGGATGCTCTTCCTTTCTCCTGTGAATTGAAGTTCACCATTGCAGATCGTTGTCCAAACTGCATTTACATGGGTGGGGTTTTTTTTGGTTGAAAACATTTGACAGTGTGGCATTAGGTATGCTTCCCTGTTATGTCTGCTATAGGCAGTCTTACGGAGGAAACCTAAGATTTACAAATTATGTGGTAATTGTGTACAAAGCTGTTGAAATTTTTCTAACTTTATCTAACAGAAGCCTTATTTCCTCTTCAATCATTAGCATAATTTGAGTATCAGTAATACAAGATAAAGAGTTTACCCAAAGGACTGTAAGGTATGATGGATGAGTTAATTATTTAATGGTGGGAGAATTTAGTCACTGCTAATGCAGACTTGTATTAACTAGAATTTTTGAACCTGTGTCAGGGCAAGGTGTAGTGAAACTTGTCATTATTTTATTAGGATTTCCTGTGAAGAATATGCAAGTGTTTATATATGTATATGTCTGAGTTGAGTACTGTGTAAATGCCCTAAATATTACAAGTCAACATCATGCTTGCTTATTTAGATGTGGCAAAAATTTTTAAGCCTGTTTTTCTTAGGTATTTGCCTTTAGGGTTCCAGGTTTGGAAATAGTAATCACATACAGTAAATCTTTAGTTTTAAAGTAAACAATTTTTTTTCTTTTCAGTTGTTCTGATTGGCTCATAAACATTTGCCGAAGAAAGAAAGAGCTGAAGGCTCGCACAGTGTGGCTTGGGTGTCCTGAAAAGTGTGAAGAGAAATACCCCAAAAATGCCATAAAAAATCAAAAATACAACGTCTTTACCTTTATACCTGGGGTAAGGCTATTAACCATTTTTTGGTGTTGGGTTGACTATATGTTCTGTAGTGTTTTTTGACGATTCTGCAAAAAGATAACTTTATTTGCCGAGATTCTTCTTTTTCTCTTTACATTTATCTCAATGTCTTCAATGAAAATTGACAGTTGAGAGCAAGGCTGCTTTTTTTTCTAAACTGTTTTGTTTTCAAAGGGATATTTACTAAAGAAGTGCAGTGTGTATGATTCAGTGGTTGGAGTTCAGTGAAGCTTTAGAAATTTGAGATGGGTTTCCTTGCACTTTTCTATTCATCATTAGAAATTTGTAATCCTCTTAAAACAGAAGCATTTCTACACAGTCAGTTGTGAAAAATACTATGAAGCACTGACTTCAATTGAGAAATAGTTGAAAATCACAATGTACTCCCATAGATATTTTCTTATACTCCCTGCCATTGAAAGCATAATAAATAATGTATTCTGAAATAGACAACTCCTTAAAGGACAAAAACAACCCACCTCTTCAATTTATATGACAACGAGTAAGGCCTAATTTCGTAAACTAGCACTTTTCAGAGTTGTATTTCTTATTGCAGTTTTAAAAATAGTGATGTCTTTTTGGTTTTGAATGCAATTCTTCAGACAATACTTTTGTTGTGGAGTGGAAGGGTTTTTGTCACTTTTTTCTAAGAAGCCATATTATGTCTTAATTTCAGCTTTTTGCCTATAATGTTCACGGTGTCTATGAAGACAAAAGAGACATTAGTTTTGTCTAGTTCATATTTTAAAAAAAATTGTTGTTATAATGAAATATAGCAATAGAGAAGACAACTTTTGAAGTTTTGCCTATAATGTTCACGGTGTCTATGAAGACAAAAGAGACATTAGTTTTGTCTAGTTCATATTTTAAAAAAAATTGTTGTTATAATGAAATATAGCAATAGAGAAGACAACTTTTGAAGCTTCAGTAGTTAAAACCTAAAAATGTATGCTGCTGTGATATTATGAATTTTACTAACATGCTTTTACTCATACTTTTACTAATACCATCCAAGAGTCCTGTGTCCTATTGCAAAAACTGAATGTTTGCTACATTTGAATACAGACATGCTTTGTCTTAAATTTTTTATTTAAGTGATCATGCTGGTTTATAAGAGTATTGATTCTATTCTTCTGGCCTCTTTGGTCCAATGATTGGCAGGTGCTTTCTAATACATTTCTTTATTAAAACAAAAAAAATTAATGGCTTTGTAATTAAGACTGATCTCCTGTCAAAGAAATAAAATGTCACTTATCACAGGTGGATAAAATATTCTCATCTCTATTGAACGAAGTAAATGTTTTCTTCCAAAGTTTAAATTATTAAATACACTGAAATTGGTTAAGCCACATATGCTTTCCTAAAGGTCACAAAATTCATTAAGCATATAGTAAGCCATTGATTACTGTGACTAGAAATCTGCAGTGTAGATTACAAATCCTAAACTAGATTCATGTTTCCTATAGGGATCGGCCATAGCTTGCAATTACCTGTTGAGAGAGAGAATGTTTGTTCTTTTTTTGATCTCTTGAAAATCTTGATTTTTACAGTTTAGGCAGAATCAGATTTTTATTTTGGTGGTAGTATTTGGAAACTCAGTAGTAACTTCAAAAATGAAGTGAGATCCTCAATGTAAAGCCCAATAGTTGGTGAAAATAAAATGTTTCTAAATTTTAATTTTAGACATAAATTAACACTTTTCATTGATTAGAAATACTGTGTAGCTATCTGGTTTTTATGCTGTTCCACTAGAAGTAATTTGTAGGGAATGTAGTTTTATTGGTTCCAAACCCATAAATGTGACTAAGTCAGAAATACTGACTCCAATGACTTAACCCTGGCTGAAATTTTCATCATGTGAAGTTTTGTCTTCTGTTTTAGAGTTGTATCTTTTTTAATATTGCAGCTGGCAATGGATTTTATTCAATGATTTCGTATCAAAATACAAGCTTAAAATAATGTTTAGATTAACCGAATTTTACTTACTGGCTAAAAGAGCTGTAACATTTCCAAAATATTATCTAATTTCCTAACATTTATATAAAATACTTACTACTTTTACCTTTATACCAGTTTATTCAATTTCTGTTTATTATTTCATATACATCTTGGTACAGCTGCTTAGGAATTTTGTGTAAATTTCCATAAAGAATATCTTCTGTGATGGGCAGGTTTTTAAGATACCGCTCCTGAACTTCAAAGCAGTAGTCTGTTTTTTTATCAGTTTTATTTAACTGGAGACTTTTCAATTTGCTTAACTAGACTGAAGTGTTTAGCTTTGTATTGAATGAAGTGTCAGTGGTCTGCCAGGATTCAAAAGATTTGTAGGAAGGTGCTTTTTAACTCCCACCTTCTCCTGCAAGATGGGTGCTTTTGCAGATCTGCACCTCCCAAAGTACTCTGTGGAATTTTCTTTGACCTCGTATATCAAGGCTTTGTAAACAGTTAAACATACTGCTAGAAACGAGTATATGAACTTCATCAGTATTAACATAAGGTACAGGTTCAAGCTGAATTAGTTTCATTTTGGAAGAATGCTCTGACTTTCCCTGCAACTTCAAATTTTACTTTTTTTGCTTTACAGTTTTGTTGGTAAATAGTGGAATAGAATTCCATGCTTTTGAAAAAATCTTCTGATTTGTGGCTGTTTACTGTTCAGCTAAAGGCTACCTAATGTAGCACTCTTGCAAGAAACTGGCAATTTTGAGGTACTGCTACTTTGTTGTGCCTGCCAAAAAAACACTTTGAAATGAACTTCCCTGAATATTTTTTCCGAGGGTGTAGCTTTTGACATAATTGAGTAATAAAGTTGGACTGGTAAGAGCAATAAATATCTGTCCGATAATTCCGATTTTCATGCAGAAGTCATTGTAATATTAACTGCATTGTAAGATTAAAAGATGGGGACACTCTTTAAATGTGGCTTTTTTGATGTATTTTGAATCTTTTTGCTTTAAAACAATTGATTATCCATTTTCTCAAGTCTCAATGTTCCAAATTTAGTAGCCACTTCTGATCATCCTGCTGGAGGTGCCATGTTATCCTGGCCTACTAAAGAAATGTGTGAAGTCTTTGAAGATTCAAAATTCTGTAAAATGAATAATGTTCTTAGCATTGTAATTATAACTAAAGCAATGTTGAGAACATGCGCTTGCTGAAGTGACGCTTTTAATTACCAAAGGAATCTGTGCATCTGTCATTCCTTTGGAATATGGGACAATGTATTCTGTGATAAAGTTACTGTGTCTTCACTTAAAACTTGGACAATTATCTTAAAGTTTAAACCAAACCTTTGATTTATTAATAAACATATCTTATGTACCAATATTTATTGTAAAATAATCTTTTGAGAAATTCAATGCTGAGCATTTCTTCTAAATTACTTAAGAAGCCCATGTTATTCTGTTACAATTTTTTTGTAGTTTAAACTTTCTGGAAACTTAAACTGTGGTTGATTTTGTAAAAAGCTTGTCTTGCTATGGAAACCGAAGAATGCCGCCTTATTCTGAGATTTCCACTCAATAGCCATTTGCAAAGAGAGCAGTGTCACTTACCCTTAGTCACTGGATCTTTTCTGTAGTGTTCACTTTATCTTCCTGAACAACGTTTATTCTTGAACATTGACTAGTTTCACTATTTTTAAGAACAGTGGGAAATGCTAATTTTGAAGGAGTGCATCTGACTTCATGGTAGCCTTTGTCCCTTTGAGAACCAAGGGATTTCAGAAAGAAGGCAGATGAGTTGTAGAGGTTTCACCTCTGCAAGAAGAGAAACTTCAGTGGCTGTGTTGAGGAGAGGGTGTGCTGAGGGAATGCAGTGAACAAAAGTAACAAGGAGTTCATGTATACTGTTTTCTGTATGTGCTGCAGGCAGGGCTGAAGTTTTAGGGTATTCTCACAGTGATGCAGGGCAGCATGGTATAGCCTACTCAGTTTTGTTACTCTGTAGAAGTTCAAATGACAGAGACTAGGATAATATTTTTGTAAATGGTTTCTGTTAATTTGATGCCAATTATTATTATTTAAGGCCAGGATATGAAAATTTTTAAGACAAAAAGACATTGTGAGTCAGATAAAACAGAATTTAAGTATTGGTACTTAAGGAAAAAGTAAGACTTTTAATGCTGTATTTTTAGGAAGAGAAGTTTTAGCAGTTAAAAATGAAAAGTTAGTGTAACCAATGAAAGTTCAGATACAAACTTATTTTGCTTTTTTTATTGATACTGTTAAAAAAGAATTTTCAAAAACTGTTTTAACTCATAAAGGTAACTGTTATGGATATAAAATTGCAAGATGCTTCTACAAACATCTGAATTCTGTTTACTCTTAAAATTTCAGAGTAAATCTTTGCACAGTGATCTTGATATATATTTAATATTTGTAAAGATTGAGTTCACATAGTCCAGTTTTCAAATTATCAAAAATTTAGCAAATTGCTTTTTCAGAGTGAAAAGAGGCATTAATATCAAAGGATTTTTCTCAGCAGAAATAGCAGTATAATATTAAAATAACTTATAGTTCATGTAGTAGGTTGTGATGATATATAGCATATTGTGCTATATGGTATTATAATAGTACTATGGTACTATTATACTATGGTATTATATGGTACTATAATAGTACCATATGTAATAGTATGCCATATAATGGTTTTATATCTACTGTCATGAAAAAGTGAATTTTATGTACATTATGGGTACAAATTTTAAGGCATTTATCTATTTTGTGTTTTTCATTTTAGGTTTTATATGAACAGTTCAAGTTTTTCTTGAATCTCTATTTTCTCGTCGTGTCCTGCTCACAGTTTGTACCAGCATTGAAAATAGGCTACCTGTACACGTACTGGGCTCCTCTGGTAAACAGAAAAATACTATTAACTAGAAGTTTTGTTTGTTTTAACATCAGATGAAAAGTTCATGTATATGTACATTTCATAAATTTGCACCTGGTAAACTACAGTGATTAAAGTATGTAACAAGTAAAATGCTTATTTGAAATTACAGTATTTTACAGCAGATACTCCAAAAGCTGTTGTTTGATAGCCCTCCCTTCCTACCACACTCCTGCCCCACAGGCTGGAGGTCGTTTTTGTTAACCAGCTAGTCTGAGTTAGTGCTCCTTTCTGGCTGCTGGTCACTTGAGAGGTTTAAAAAAACAAACCAAAAAAACCTCCAGCTAGTAGAGAACCTTATTTGGTAACATAGGAAATTTGTGTGTTAAATTTCTTGTTATTTACTCACTATTTTATGTTTTCAGGCTAGGGCAGAATTGAAAGCATAAATTTTTTGCATTCCTTCTGTATCGGTTTTGATCATGTCCTTTTTTCACCAAAATTGAGATAAAATATTTTAAGCTATGGATAAAGCAGGAGGAAAATGCATCTTGAAAATAAGTTATTCATTAAACATGCTTTTCCTAATTGATTGCCCTGCCAGTTGCACCAGCTTCCTTTCAATATATCTTTTTATTATTGATCCCTCTGCAGAGTATTTTCGGGAAACTGTTCAAACCAGTTGCTTCTGACTCAGGTTTCCTAAGGTTTGAAAATTGTATTCTCTTCAGAGGAGGCCCTTTTGGTAGTCTGCCAGCTATATTCCCATGATTTGGAATTCTTTTCTTGTTTGTAACCAGATCATTACCTTCTCTTTCATCTTCCTCCTGGCCCCTCCATCCCAGGTCTAAAAGCAAGGCAGGAAGAACAAATGCTTTATTTTCTAAATTTGTAAAAAAAAAATGGTGTTTTTCAGTAGCATTTATTCTCAGTGGTATTCAAGAAGAACACTGACATGCTGACTGCTTGAGTAAAGGTCATTCTTAAGTCAATAGAGTAAATACTCCGGATTGATTTCGTTGTTTTAATTTTTGCAACATGTGTCCTTTTAAGTATCGATAAATGGAGAGACTGTCCTGGAGGTTCTTCACACCTCTATTTCCAGACAACTTTTGGCTTCTGCTGCAAAAAAAACCACTTCCAGGACAGAAAGCTTGTTCAACAGTGGGATTTGAAATGGGTATTTACAAAGGTCTTTGTCACTGACCCGGTAAGAAAAGACAGAAGTCAGCCTTGTCTGGAAGTTGGTCTCTTCGCAGTGAAGTGCTGTGTACAGCTCTATACGTTAGTGGGGTAGTAAGGAAAAAAATCCTTTAGCATCTCAGCCTATCTCATCCCTGCCCAAAGAAGGGAGAAAATACTGTATTTTGCAAACATCGTTAATCAGTTCTGTATAGATGCGTTTGTCTTTTCAAGGATATTTTGAATGATGTTTGCCAGTTTTCACATACAGCTTGAAAATACAGCAATATATCAGTTAGTGCTAGTGGTACCCCTTTTTTCTAAACTCACTTGTTTCTACACGAATAGCTTTTCTACTAATGATTAACCTCCAGGTAAAAGAGATTAATTAGATGTTGAGTAAGGCTCAGTATGGGTGATGAAAATATAAAACATTTAAGTCAGACCCATTGGGCTGTCCTTGTTGCTGAACAGATAAGTTTGGTTTTCTTTGAAGAGCGTGTAACTGCTGATAAATTTTTAGTAATAATCAGAGGATTAGCTATGACTTGGATTGTATTTACTCTCAAGATTTTAAAGGAAAAGAAAAATTTTTCAGCCTGATACTTAAAACCAACTGAATAGAAATTGACTAACTAGAGGTTTTTGGGGTTTTTTGGTGGGGTGTGGGGTTTTTTGGAGGTTCTTGGTTTTGTTTTCATTCTGTTTTTTACTTCAACAGTTTTTGCAACAGACAGACATAATACACTTAGATCAAGCACTGGAGTTCTTCAGACAAGACTGTATTTTACTGGTTTGTTGTCATTCACACAGTAGGGAACTGACTTCTCATTTTGAGTCCGACATACAAAGGATGTAAAGCATACAAGTTTGATTGTAAGCAGTATGCTAAAGATATTTAAATGCTTACAGTTAAAGAAAGATGACAGTTTTTTTTATAAGGTTGGCTTCACAATTTCAGCTCCTCTTTGGAAGAGTATCAAGTTCCTTTGAGCAAATGAGGAAAAAGGGAAATGTCTTAAATTGTTCCTCATAGTCACGGTCAGCTGTACTGAGCTGCCCGGTAAGGTATGGTGACTGCTAGGGGAAATTTTTGCAATTAACACCTTGCATTCTGTGCTTTGATTACTGTCTAGTTAATGAGATATGTGCAAATAGCAAATATATTTGAAGGTGCTTCAGGAGTGCCTTTTTTATGCTGCTAAAATATCTATACTGCCAAAGCTCGTGAAAATGCTGCTGCCAGAAAAGGGGAAAACCCTACTGCTCATTCAGTTAGGCCCAAGGAGTGAAAAGGAATGCATTTTGCAAAGGTACTTTTTTGTTCTATGTAGTTCTGCTATAATTGTTGTAGCTAATGTAAATCTGAACAAACAAGAAGTGTTTAACTATAAGGTCGCAACAGAGTAAGCCTTGGAATTTTGGGCTGGAACTGCAAAACAGCCCTTGCTATTGAAAAGCAGAATTTTAGTCAAGACTCCTTCAGGAAAACTCTACACCTTCACTCCTTTTTCATTGCTGGGAGGTTAGGGGAAGGTTGGCAAACTGTTGGACTTCTGCAAGAAAAGAAGTCTAATAGTATAAATTTTCTTCTGTAGAAGGAAAGTATTGGTGGGTGCCTGAAGTTAGATAGATAATCTAGAACCTTATCTGTTGGAGGATTTGTGAATATTTGAATTTTTTAGCTATCTTACTTATAGTAACGATAAGATCCCTTTACTGTTAAAAATTTCATTTGCCTTTCACTGATGGAGAAGGACTGAGCACTTGAGTTTAAGAAGCCAGAAGACCATATCTGAGTAGGTTTAGAAAGGGAGAGAGTTAACTCTTACGTGCTTATCCCTGAACTGTTCCGTATTCTTTTTAGTTTACCATCTTTTGTGGCCAGAGACCGTCTTAGTTGTATATAGCGCACTCTGCATTTCCAGCAGAAACTGTGGTGGCACTATCCTGTGAAAGTAGTAGCCAAAGCGTTTAGATACTTAGTTTTTCAGAACAAACCCCCTTTTTCTTAATCAATATTTGTGACGTATTTGTAAATGACTACATTTAAGATGGCAAAATTAATCAAACTAGCCATCCATTTACCTTTTCATTTCTCTCTGTTAGGAAAAAGGCAATGAACTCAAAATTAGAATTGGAGACTTCTTAAATGTTTTTGGTAAAGCCCTAAAATTTGTGGAAGATAGGGAAATATGCTTATTGAACTACAAAGGCTGTCTATAGCTCATCCAAAGCATTTTAATTTTTGAAATCTCATATTATATCTAAATTACATGTATTTGGAGATGTAGTTATTCTAATTATATTTGTACAATGTACAAGTATGATTTTCCTTTTTTTTGGACTAAGCCAAGATATAATTTTAACAGATTGAAGAAAACACTAAAATCCAAATGAAAAAAAAAGTAAATATTCTAAGCATATGTTCTTACTCTGTATAGCATTCCTACTTGTGTATTTCTATTCTAGCACTTTGAGAATTTTGAATTGCATAATTATATCTTTAACAGGGATTTGTTTTGACGGTCACGGTGGTACGGGAAGCCGTTGATGAATTTCGACGTTACAAGAGAGACAAGGAAATGAACTCACAGTTATATAGCAAGCTGACAGTACGAGGTTAGCAAAACCATTTGTATAAATCCTTAAAATATTTCATCTTTTTCTTATATATACATTTACAGACTTTCAGTTCAAAGAAATAAATAATAGTCTCAAGCTGCACTATTCAGAATGAAACTGATACTGAACCAAATAAAGTGCTTGATTTCCCTCAGATAAATACAACTGTTAAACTTGATCTGTTTAAGAAGTGTTGTAAATCTTCTGTTGTTTGTAAAGGAAAGGTGTATGTATATAATCGTATATATTTTTTTAGGCATTCTGCTGTTTAGTGCTACTACTTCAAAGTGCAGTTCTCCTCTGAAATTGATATTGAACAGTAACTCAGCAACACTCAGCTGTGTATCAAGTGTATATAGGAAATAAGGGATCAGTAACTAAGAAATACGATCTAATTAAAATTCACTAGAGCCTTTCAAACTTGGTGTATAAATTTGTGCTTAAGCAAAGGAAGATATATTGTGAGTCAGCTTCAGTATCAAAAAATACTGATTTCAATATTTGCATATAATTTGAAATCTTTATGATCAGGCAGTAGGAACAGCCAGTTTTCTCTCTAGAAATTAATAAAAGGAGAAATCACAGTTACGACTCTTTGGACTCAAAACCTTTGACGGTTTTCATGAAGACTTTCAAGGAAATGAAGCACTTCAGCTGTGAAGTGACAATTAAATTTGGTAGGTTATTGTAAATTTTAAACATGGGCGTAAGAGAAAAAACTATGCACTACTCTCCACTTTTATGTTGCTTAGCACATTTTACTGTTTAGATTCAGAACAGAGTGCCACATAGAAAGGTGCCAAAAATAACGAATAACCTATTATCAAGTAGAACTGTAATGAATAACCTTACAAAACAACATGACCCTGCTATTACCCTCGAAAGTTATTCTGCTACAATATCCTGGGAAGCCTCTGTTAAGGATTTTCCTTGGCATAAAAGTTCCAGAAAGTGGGAAGTTAAGGAATGTGAGGTTGCGTCCCAAGCAGTTAGAGTATACGGCATACATTGTGCCAAGTGTAAATTCTGTTCACTAATTCCCAACATACATTTCACTGCACTTTTTAGTATATCTTGGTGAATATCTTCTGAGAGTCAGTGGGAAGAGTAACCTCACCAGATCTGGGAGTCTTGGTTAGAAACTACACTCTTGGAGTATCTCTGGATAATATTCTCTCCAGAAAAAAATGGATGAAAATCTTGTAATGTAACACAAGTATATTCTGTCTAAAATCTTACCCCATTTTTTAAAGTAATTGGAAGGTAAGTAAACAGGCAACAGTCTCATTAGTGATGACATAACCTAGCAACTGAGAGGAATTAATACTGCTTCCTTGCAGTATGGAGACTTGCATTGTTTTCTGGATTTTGCATACAGAAGGGAGCAACTGTAGGGAATATTTGCCTATCATTCTTCCCTTCCTTGTCAGCCTGAAATAGCTTTATCAACATTTAGACATACCACTGTGGAAATCTGCAAATGGGATAGCTATCATTTGTTTAACACAAGTGATTGCATTGCTGGCCTCCAGATCTTTACAGTCTTTAATACTTTCTGTAAAGAAATGGACTCTTAATGGCTTTTCTTTCAAAGTTGTGATTTAACCTGCTAGTTGGTTTATTAATTTTTTTAGATCTGTTATGGTAGGCCACTGAACACTAACCTTTAAAATAGATAGTACAATCCTACCCTATTCAGCAATAGTGTTAGTAATCTGAAATTCTTAGTTTTGGAAGCACATGTATAGTTTATAGTTACCAGTGTGATGTAAATGTCAAGACTGACATTTGCTGTTTTAAGAGCTAAGTTTGGTGCCTTTTGTGCTTCTTTTTTCACTTAACTTGTTTAGAGTTAATATTGGAGTTTCTGGTAAATTGCTAGGCATTTAAGTGGCATTTAAGTAGAAGTTTTGGAATCCTGATTTCCTTTTTCCCAGTTCATGAAATATTTTGTGAGGTTGTGTGTATTTGAGAAACTTTTCATTTTGTAACTTCTCCTAGAAATAAGGAAGTTATCAAATCAAAATCAGATTTGGTTACCTTGATACAGCTGTTTTCTAGATACAGAATAGAGATTTAAAAATAGTATACAATAGTATATAGGTAAAGCCCAGCAGTTATATCAGGAACTGACACATAGAGAGCAGTGACTTGTTCAAAAGAAGTTTTAAAAATGTCCTTTTTAAAAAAAGGATATCAGCTTTTACCCACAAATGTGTATGTTTATTTTGACTTTCAGGTTTTGGTGTCAGTGCTATCATGAATTCATACTTGGTTTTTGTTCTTTTTGTGGTTTTTTTGAAGACCATGATATTCTGCAGAAGTAAAGATTCAAGATCTCTGCTTACAATGAACTCTGAATCCCATGTTGACAAGGGTGTGATCGATGAGCTAACAATGTTTTGAGTTGTGGCCAATTTTAAGAATGAAAACGTTATTGCAGTCCCCACTGAAAATTAAGCTGTACTAAAAATTGCCGCAAACACATATATAAAATAATGAATAGATGAGAAATTGCACCTTTTTCATAATACAGGGTTCTTTCATAATAAGGCATTCTGAAACTGAAAGGTATCATTCTGAAGCAAAAAATGGGACTTCCTGCTATGATAAAATTAGACCAAGACTTTTACAGGTTTTGAGAAGGATTTAGGTGTTTATCTGTACAAATTAATAAAGTCAAGTACTACATTTGACTTTACAAGTAAAAATACAAACTATTTTTATAAATAACTTTCAATATAATCTACCTAATTTTTAATATTGGCAGTACTCTTCAAGTGGAAAAAAAGCAGCTAGGCTTACTATACTAACCTACACGCTAATGGTTGGAGAAAGGCGGCTTTGTTACTTGTGAATGAACAAACTTGATACTGATTTAATTAAAAGCCTGAAAATCTATGCCATTCTTAAGAGTCACTTTTCAGAGTGGAACTGCACTTTATACTGCTCTAGTATCTCCCATCTTTTTTTTTCCTAGTGATTTTATGACTTGTGTAGGTTTTACAGTCTTTTTTTTTGAAATAGGTATTTTTTTCCGTCTCAAAGATGGAGAAACTGATATAGAGAGGTTAAGCAGGTTGCCTTTGCTCAAATTGGACAGTAGGAAAACTTAAAGTTAGCAACTTCAGTGTTACCCTTGGTTTAATTGTACCATTTATGGAAGATAAAAATGAGAATTTAATCACTTCTAGTTAGTTGTTTTGCAGAATTGTTTGTTTACTATAGGGAAACAAATGTATTTATAGCAAGAGAAGCTGCTGGGATTTGAATTGTGATTAATTACTTGTATAAAGATAGTGTGGGTAGGCTGATTTCTAAGTTAAAATCTTTTTATACAGCATTGCAGTAGATTAAAACCAGGAAGTCTTTGACTGCCTAGCAGTGTTGACTTTCTGTGGAGTCATTCTTAGCCTCAGGAACCCCTAAACAGGTAAAACATGTGAATGTTGTCTTATGACCTGCATGTTGCTAGTGTAAGAAGTACCAGCTTTCTGAAGATGGCGGATTCACATTAGTGATTCTTGAAGACTTAGAATTTCTTTTTAGTAATTCAAGACCTTGAATAAGTACTTGTTCTAATCAGTAAGTCTTAACTTTTTTTATAATAATGAGCTGTTAGGAGCAGGAAATCAAGGGAGAGTGGGACATCTGTTTTAAGTGTTACTTAATTGTACTTAGGCAGCAATGGCTGGTTTAATGTCCATAGACTTAATTCTGATCCATGAGATATCCAGTGTTATGCAGTTTTCTGTCATGTAACATGGCAAAGCTCAGTCTTCAGTCATCCCTTGGTGAATTTGCTATATGTAACTGCACTTGTCAAGAAGGTGAACCTGCTACACGTGAAGTTTGAATGGTTTCTATTTTTTCAACCCTTTGTGGCAAATGATGATACATGCAAATCAGTAAATGTATTGAATTTTTTTGTGATCAAAGTGTACCCATCTCCATGTCTTTCATGTGAATCTTTTCCCTTGTATACTCTCCTAGATTATGTCATTGAATCTCTTAAGTTATTCAGTGTATTCTGCTGTCTTAATCTTTTTATTGAGATGTTTGTTGCAAAATCTACTTTCCTTTTTTGCATATCAAAGTCTGCAAATCCTTAATAGACAGCTTTCAGTCAGTATGCAAGTTAAAGTTGGAGGGAGGAAGAGTGTCTGCTTGTAGGATTGAAATTATCTTGCTATTGAAGATCCTGTCAATTTAATTGCCTTTTTCTGCTTCAGAGCGGCTCACCTGCATATCCTTTTGTAGAGCAGAAACTGCAATGGAAAAAATTTAGGCCTGTGCATGCAGGTTTGGGAGGACTTCTGTTTTTCTTTCCTAAGGGACCATTATGCTTTTGGCGCGGCTTCTTGTCTTGTGCACTTAGGTATGACCAGTTAAGTGCCTATGAAAAAATGCTGCTGTTCTGCAGAAGAATCACCTCAAGTTCATAAACAGGCTATTATCTCTTTCGTTAAGCTGCCAAAAGCCAATTTGATAATAAAATTGTAGAGCAATTTTAACTCTTTTTCCCTTCCCATTCTTGAAGTTGGCAGTTCTGCCCGGAACCTTTCCTAGTTAGGTTTGCCCATGCAGTGTTACTGAAGTTTTGAAGAAGAATGATCAAGAAGAAAATAACTATAGTCACAACTGCGAGCTGCGGGAGAGGCATGCATCTGTCGCTTCATCTCAGGATGTTTAATATGACTTTCAGAAGTGTTGCAGAACTCTCTCTCACTTTGCAACCTGAAAAGCAAAAGAAAAAATGAACGTCAGGAGCGATGAGATTAATGAAATAATTCCATCCAGGCTTCAAATGTGAAAGACTTATGTCTTTGCTGTATCCTTAAGGAGTGTTTAAGAATGTAGTGAAGTTGAAAATGAAGCCAAAATTGTGTGAAATTAAGAAAAATCAATAACTGCTATACATAAGAAGAGAACAAAGCATGAAAGCTAGTATGTTTCCTTTAAAATTGGAGAATTGAGAAGTCTGTTCTAGAGAGCTACAGTGATTTGAAATTTTTTTTACTTCTGAAATTCTGTTTATGCAGTAGGAGCTCCTCTGTTCCTAAAATGCCACCTTACTGAGTTTATATTTCAATTGACCTATTTTTGAATTGCAAAATGGTCTCTGTCAAGAAGCAGTCAGTTTTCAATCATTTATACCTGTTACCTGCAACTTTAAAATAAGATGTGTGTCAGAATGTCTTGATTATTGTAATATCATTCTTTTGCAGTTATTTGAAATCTGTATTGAAACCTCTTATAACATTAGAATTTCAGCTCTTCAAGAACAGGTTGTCCTTCTGCTTTTTAAAAAGCCACTGCATTAAAAAAAAAACAACATGATTTCTGCATCTAGAGGTACAACATTAGGTCTTTATTGCTTGCAATATTTCAAACCTACCGATGACTTCATTCCTCACATTTATACCATTTGGAACAGATACGTTTTTAAAGAATTGTATCAATTTAATCTAACTGATGAGGGAAGCAGTAAGCAACAGCAGAAACAGAACTAGAAATTTCAATGTAAGAAAGAATTTCAAAAAGAGGCCGGAAGAGGGGAAATGTCAAGGGGACTGTTTTGTTCCGCATTTTTGCAGCATCCAGGAAATTGGATAAGAAAGAAAGAAGGCTTTCCATTTCACCCAAGAGGAGATAGTACACAGAGGAGAGGAGCTAGGAAGCATTTCTCTAGAGTTTTATATTGGTGATTAAAGACTAACCTCAGTTCACTATGTAAGATGGAGTTTGAAAGAAGGACCTAAGGACAGCGCTTGCACTGAAAGATCAGCATCTTCACCTTGGACTCACTGTAGCTTTAAGCTTTCCCCTGCCACCTGCCCCCCAGCTCCCCATTATATTATGTATACTCTAATTACGCTGACAACTCAGGCTAAGAGATGCCAGGTAAAACCTTAATATGGTCTATACTTTACTCCTTTCATTCAAGAGTTTTATATTTATGGCTTAGAGACAAGCTCTGTTACCAACTCCAGAAGCAGTACTTCACACAGTACTCAAGTTACTGTGGGTAAGATGTAATAGCAAATTAAAAATAATTTGAAAATGCTACTCTCAGAAGTTACTGTTCTTTCAGGAGTGGCTTGCACTCAGGTAGTAGAGACACTTTTTAATAAAAAGAAACAAAGTTGTTTCTGATATAGTATATGCCTACATCTTATGTACTTAATTTCTTAAATTTTTATGTGAAATACTTGTAGCACATGAGATATTTATTAGTTTTTCAAATCATTGCAATTCATTTCAAAAGGCTTTATCTTGGGAGTATAATGAATTACTACAGACACATGTCAGTGTTCCAGTTCTGCATAATTCTGTATGTTGCTTTAGGCAAAAGCCTTGCGCCTTGGTGGACTATAAAGTCTGGATGTGCAGCCACTTCTGACAGCTTTGGACTTTTTATTGGTAATTACACAGATGGTGAAGAGTCTTTTGCTATGGAGATGTTTTTAGAGAAAAAATAGTTTGCAAAAATAACTTATGCAGTGAATAACATTCAGTGTCTGTCTTTTTCTCCAAATGCATCTTCACTAAGATGTAGTATTGCATTATTTTAATGTTCTCTGAAATGGTATCTAATGATTCTCATTTTTGCTAGTCTAAAGAAAAGTGTTATTTGTTGACTTTTCAAAATTTTAAGCCACTTTTTACCATTGCCACGTTTTACCATTTAGTTTTTAATGGAATATGTCCTGCCATTCAGATTCATTGTAGAATTAATTGTCTTGTATGTCACAGGCCACTTCCTTACGTGTGGGAATATACAGGATGCTCTAACAAGACATGTTAGTGTGTAATAAAGACGGTATGCTGTAGTGTTATACTAAACCACCTAGAAAACAGTCTGGTAAGGAAACTTTTCAATTCATAATGTGACATTCCCAGGATTGCTAGACTGAGTACAAGCAAAGGTGCAGTGTGGGTTCCTGTTGGTATACTTGGCACCAGGAGTCTTTGCTTTTTGTCTGCCCTACATCATGTTGCAAATGAATGTTCTACCTTCTTTTGTCCTCTGAGGCTTAGTGTCTTTTGATCTTTACTGTAGATGCTGTTAGAACATGACTGTGGAAAAATCAATTGTTTAAGTTGATAAAATTGCTAGTAGTTGCATTTGATTAGTATCTCTGAATGGTTTTGGTCATAGATGACTGTGTAGGTGCTGTAGATCTGAGAACGCAGCTGGTACTAGGATTTTTGTGGCTGTTGCTACTATAATCAGTTGATTGACTTGGCTATCACACTGATAAACTGATGAAAATTGTTAGTGGAGGAATTGATGACAAAATAGGAAATGCTATCCTTTTGGTAAAGCTAACAGACTTAGAAAGCAAGTAAACATTATGATGTTTTTCTGGTATATACTATTCACTTCTAGTCAAAACTTGAGAATTTATAAAGAGAATTCACAGGCTCGTGCAGTTAAGCAGACTAAATATGTTGATTTGGTATCACACTGTTCTTTCAGTGGTTGAGCTCTAGTATTAGTTACTTTAGAGTAAAAAAAAAAAATTGTTGAGAGATTGACACTAACTTAATTTCCATAGGCATCTTGAAACTCCTCCTCAGAGAACTGCTAATGTTTCTTGCTACAGCTTTTTATACCTTCTGCTACTCCTTTCACCCTCACAAATGTGTTATGGCAGAGTTAGGAGTCAGATTGAAGATATAGTTTGTTTTATATTTGCGGGCAGGGGGAAGGTGTTCTTGGCAACTGAAAAATTGAACTGGTGTAAAAGATCATTATCAATAACAAAGACTGGCTTTCAGAAATAACTTTGCAGACGGGCCAAACAAAAGTTCTGATTTTCCTCCGACATTGCACATTTTAGAAGTGCTAATGTCATGGAAAATGTATTAAAAATTAGCTGTAGGAATACATTTATTATTGACTGAATTAAACATAAAACACATGTTACTTCTGCATGAAATGCAATTTTAAAGAGGAAGTACTGAAAATAATTACAACAGGAATCTTACTACCTTTGACTAAATGCATGTAAGTATAAGGAATTTTTTGAGGTTAACTGCCTGATCTCTCTTCATTGAGAGTTACGATGAGGTCTCATGGATTTGGAACCGAGCTTAGTTTTTGTTTTATGCTTAGTATAACTTTGAGAGATGACAGAATGTGCATTGACAAATCTACCATTCATAATACTTTTAATCAAACTCCAAACTGATTGCTGCTCATCCTGTGCTTTTGTGGGTCTTCTGTTCTAATTCATTCAGTCTAATTTTTATTTAGAACCCTAGCACCTTACCATGTTTTGACATACTTGTCATCTCATACCTGCTGATGAGATACCTGCTGCTTGGAATCATGATAGTGTCTCTGATGGGAAAAGGTATTTCGTATGAGTGTGTTTCAGCTTGCCAGGCTGTGTAAATATGTACGTGTTTAGATCTTGAGTTAACAGGTTCTGAATTTATCACCTGTTATATCTTGGAAGAGGATATCCATATGTCATGACTTGTTTGTCTAGAAGTTGGTTTTGGTTTTGTTTTTTGGTTGTTTTTAACTCAAGGAAGAAACTTTTTCTGGAATTCTAGCAAGGACCTGGGACTAGAACTCCTGAATTCTAATGAGATCAACAATAACTCATTTTGGGCAGTAGCTTAACCTCTCTGTCTCAGTTTTTCAGTCCATCAAATAAGAATCTTAAAACGTAACAGTCTTACAAATATTAATACCCTACGGAACATACAGAAATTAAACTGGTACGTGTGCTGTGTATGTTTTTGAATGAGTTGTTCACAGCAGTTACTGAATGGGCAGCTCTAGAGAATGAAAAACCTCTATTTCAGCTTTTGATATTTTACTTTTCTAAAATGAAATTTCAGGCGTTTCTTCTGACTTTAGAGAGACTTAATCTCTTTTCCACTATAATTGCCAACAAGTGTCAGACAGTGCCAATTACATCAGTAACTTCAGTGGCCAAGCAATGCTACCTGTTGGTAACTGGGCTGTGACTAACAACTCACGTTTGTGAGAATGCTCCGTGACTGTAAGCCTAATGACTCTTGACTTGTCAGAAATAGAAGTGCTGTCTAGTAGGAGATGTGAAAGACTCCTTTTTCCAATTTTACAACTCTGTTATTGATACTATAGTTCAGACTTGAGCATCTTGTACGCGTTTTTTTCCCTCTAATATTTCTACAATAGCTAGCTGGTTACAAAACTAGACTTTTTTTAACCAGTGAGTTATTTATTCAAACAGATGAAATCTATTTATTAATGTGTTCATCAGAGATCCATTTTGTATAAATTGTGACATTTTCACCAAACAATAACATCTTTAAGTATAACTTGCATTCTGGGATTTATATTTTTGTGACTCTCTATTAATGTCTGCCTAAGTTGATTACATTTCTTCTTTTTTTTAAGGTAAAGTGCAAGTTAAGAGTTCAGACATACAAGTTGGAGACCTCATCATAGTGGAAAAGGTTGATACTTTTTAAATATATTTTAGAGACCAAGGATTATTAACATGCTAATTATCTTCTGAAGAAAAGTATGTTGAGGTACTTATCTGTGAAGTACTAACTAGCTAGTATTTTAGTTCAAGTCTTATTTGAGAATCTTCAAGGAAGTCTGTTTTTGGATTAATTATAAGCTTAATTGAATATAAGCATTTATATTTTATGAATTGGTATATGCTTAAATTTATCTAGTGAAGGGAATACAATTACTGAATTAAATTCTCTGGCTTGTGCTGTGGTGAATGTTCTAAGCTGTCTGATTACCGATACCTTCCTTCTGATGCTCAGATCAGTGTTTTTCTATGTTTGTTTATATATTTTTAAAAAGGAGAAAAAGCTTTCCAGTTTGATTGCAAATGGTGAGTGAGAGCAGTGAACTTTTTTCCCTCTATGTTAGTATTATAATAAAGACTGTTGCTTTTTTCAGTTGGCTTTCTGGGGTACTAAGAAATTATTGTGACCTTGAAAGTCAACTTAATCTTCTTGTCAGAGGAAAATATTTTTACTGAAGTTCATTCTGGAAAGGTGACTCACATTCTGGGTGCCAGCAAGTGATTCCCATCACGCTTTGTATTAGAGAGCTAATCCATGAAGAAGCTGGAAGGGGGCACCTCAAATTGAAGCTTGTGTCCACAGCTTTGTTTGAAGTGTTGTATGGCAAGTTGCAGCTTGGCAGAATAATCCTTAGTGGAACCTAGTCAGTGACTAGACTTTTCTAAACTTGGTGGTTTTACACCTATTTAGTGGAGTAAATTACCTCTGATAAAAGAAAATCCTTCTGCAAATATGCCCTCCTGATACATTTTGTGCTTTCTTATTTGTTAGTACCTCTCCTTTTACTTGGAGAATTTGGAGAACTCATAAATTGTTAGTGGATAGAGATTATTTTCTTTTTTCAGCCATATATAAGAAACACAACTTTTTGTTTTGGAAAACTTCTGTTACCTTCCTTTCTGTTTATTCTGTAGTCCAAAGAAAGAACAATACACTCAAGTCTCATTTGGTTTGCTGCTCTCAGCTTAAAATATATCTATTTTCATGTAGTTTGTACTATTTCTTGCTTTTTTTTTCTTTTCTTTTGTCTGCTATCTGTACTTGATATCTTTTTGGGCCTGTCCGAGCTGCATATACTAGCATAGACAAGATTAGCACTAATATGTGTGGCTTTTACACCTGCTTTGCCTTACACCTTGCTATCTTAGAGTGCAGGTGGAGTCAGGTTGCAGCTGCTCACTTTTGTGCCTATTCCAGATCTAGGAAGGAATGAGATATTTGCTTTGATTTTTATTAGGAAACTTTTTAGGGCTGCCTTAATCTCTAAACCTGAAATTAATTATTATAGAGTGTAGGGAAGAGTCTGGCTACATAGGTAATCTGCCTTCCCTGAAATTTACTGAGATCCATCAGTCTGTTGAATTATGCTAGAATTTGGAAAACTGGAATTACTTTGGGGATCGATCTGTCTTGTGTGAGGTAGGTCATTAGCATCTATTTCAGCATTATTTGCAGCAGCTTACAGATCATATGTTGTGAGTACCTGAAGTTTCTAATGAAAAAAAGTAATGTTTTAGGATTTAGGGAAATAATGCGTAGAGTTCTTTTTGATGAAGATTTTACTTGGGTATCTCAGTAAGATGCATATAATTGTTTGAATGTTGTATTTCAGCTTCAAGCTCCCTCCTGCCCCAGCAGAGCTTTTTTTTCCTTTTGGCCTAGCTGGGGGTGCCTTCAGACTAATGAAATTAAATGTTTTCTGGTTCTATTGAGAAGTGTGTTTTGTTGGAGCAAGCAGTTTTCAATTTCAGAGTATGTTTCTTAAGGCAAACAACCAGTCGGGAGTGAAATGTTCAATTGCTCACTCTAATGGCAAAGGAACAAGTTAACATTGTATTTGACTGGAAGATGCATCAACAGCATTTCTGCAGTTGAAATAAATGACTCATTTGAGCTGAAGATCCATATGTTAACTAGTGACTGCATCACAAATACTAACAACTTAAGTGAAAGGCTTTTCTATATTTAAACCTTGAATATTCTCTGATTATTGTATTGTTTTGGTTTTTTTAAATAGGCCTGATTAATTTCAAAGCAGCTCTAAGTGACTGCAATGTGCTTGAAACATTTTAGTTCCAAGTAGTATATCGTTTCAACTGAAAATTTTGTAATGCACTAATAATAGGGCAGGAAGAAGCCTGAATAAAAGAAAATACTGCCTGTTTTTAAAAGCTAAAAGACATTTGTATATCTAAGCTGAAAAATGGTCCCCTGCCTCGAACAGACATGCTACTTCATAGATGTTGTTCTTGGCTTGTGTTAAGATATGTTTTTAGTTTCCAATGGGAGCACAGGTGTGCATAGTGTTCCTAAATAAGACAGTTGAAGGGGCGAGTTGGTGAGTTCAGATATTGTTATTTAGACACTGTAGCTTATTGACAGTTTGGAATATGTTTTGGAGATGTGAAGAGAGCATAAAACTTCATAACAGTTAATAACACATTTACTTAATAACATTTAATAATAACAACACATACAGTGTTTTAAAATGTGGAACAGTAATGCTTTATCTTAAAACTTAGAGAGCTTTTCTTGGAGCTGTAAAAGGACACAATTGTTTTTTCTTAATCTCGGCTGTAAAGTGAAATTAATCCAGTATTTGTAAGGATTGCAGTTAATGCTAGCATGCATTATTGCACAGCATGCAGATGCAAGAAGACAACTGGGAGGTGCCTCTTCTGTTCATAACTCGGAAGCAAGCAGGAATATTTTAGTCAATGAGAAAAGTACATGGTTCATTACATGAATGGAGAAGAAAGGACAGTAAATGCAAAATTCTGAGGGTCTGTAGCTATGGGCAGTTGTAGGGGAATTGGAAGACTGACTAGGGAGCTGGAGAAGCTTATGTAAATAACAATTTCATGATAACATGAGAAAAATGAAAAAGTAATTTGCAAGCTATTAGAAATGGTGTTTTTCAAGTGCATATTGTAGCCTGTGTTGCAGGGAAGTATAGGTGTGTTTGTGGGTTTTCTTGTTTTCCAATCTGGCTAGTATTCCTGGATGGCGTGGAGTTAGCCATGGGAATCCAGAAGCTGGGGAAGTACTTACCTTGTGTTGACCATTGTTTTTGACGTAGTTAGATCTCTAGGAATGAACCTGTAAGTCTGCAGCATAGACAAACACTGAGAGAAATGGAAGCCCTCCTTTCCTGGAGCTCTAATTCTGCCCAGACTTAAGCAAAAAAATGTATTCAAGTCATTTTCATTACTTATATATTCAAATTTCAGTATATATCAATAAACATTTCTAGCTTAATCTCCATGGTAATTGAGATTACATAGTTTCTTCATGGGTTTCTGAATGCTTGAAGTTGTATGTGTTGTCATTTTAACTTGTTCCACTTTGATAAATATGACATGAGAGGGCTAACATGATTGACATATTGCTGCTGTTTGTCTGTGACAATGTACAACAGAACTTAATTTTCTCCACAATGAGGTGTTAAAGATTTTTGTAGCATACTTGCCATCTGTTTCTGTGTAGTCACTCTTTTATACTGACTAGGTACGTCTTTGCAGGGGGATCTTTGCTCACCAGTGTCAGCAGTAATAGTGACAATGTTTTTTGGTATCTAGTACTGCTGCAGTACCTTTCTGCCCACTTCCAAAAAACGGAAAACCTGATGAAAAATGAGATGTCAATCTTAAGTACTGTTGCAGTTTTGGTTTTGGTTTTTTTTTCCTGAGGGAGAAAGTGAAGACAAGACAGTCTCTAGCTTTCCCTACATGGAAGGATGCATTCAGATATGTTAATGCAGAAAAGCTTACGTTATTTTACAGGAAAGAAAAACAAGCAGAGAGAACATGTTAAAAAGACTTAAAATCAAGACGTATTTTTTCTATTAAAATGTGAAAATGATCACATGACTGATTTGATCGCAGTCTACAGCTTCCTCAAGAGGGGTAGTGGGGAGGAGGTGCTGATCTCCTCTCTTTGATGACCAGAGATAGGACATGAGGAAATGGAATGAAGCTACATCAGGGGAATTTCAGGTTGGACATTAGGAAAAGGTGCTTCACTGAGAGGGTGGTCGCCCACTGGAACAGGCTCCCCGGGGAAGTGGTCATGGCACCAAGCTTGTCAGAGTTCAAGGAGTGTCTAGATGATGCTCTTAGTCAAATGGTTTCGGTTTAGGTAGTCCTGCGAGGAGCAGGGAGTTGGACTCGATAATCCTTATGGGTCCCTTCCAACTTGAGATATTCTGTGATTCTGCCCAATTTTGTCAGCCATAAAGACTTGAATCTTGGATAGCAAATACCAGGTGAATGTTTCATTTACTGAATGTGAAACATACGTTCTCCGTGGAAGGTGGTAATGATTTGTAAAAACCAAATGATACCTCATTTGGATTATTAGAACTTCTATTTAATTCAGTATTAGATCATTTGACTGTTATTTTTGCAAAATTTTTGGGTGTTGGTCAAGTGGTTTAGCTTGTTTACAAGTAACTGGAAGTTTGTAGGCATGAAGCCAGTAATGGATTTATGTCAGAGCTGGCAGGGAAGCTGCAAAAATGTGTAGCTAATCTATATGAAGACTGGATATCTGTTTAATTGTTATTGTCATTTAAGGAGAGACTTATTTAATTTTGAAGTTGCATTTTTCCTTTCCTCTTTTTTTCTTTCCTCTAATAGGTGCATAATGATATATATTAAGGTTTAATGTTTTTACTGCATTTTTTCCAAATCTGAATATGAGATATTCCTGGTTGAATCTGGGCTCATAGAATCATAGAATCATTAAGGTTGGAAAAGACCTCTGAGATCCATTGAGTCCAACTGTCAACCCAACACCACCATGCCCACTAAACCATGTCCCTAAGCGCCGCATCTACATGTCTTTTAAATACCTCCAGGGATGGTGACTCAACCTCTTCCCTGGGCAGCCTGTTCCAACGTTTAGCCACT